TCCACATACAGCTGTTCATATTTGTGAAACTATAGAAAAAATTCTTAAATATTGGGATCTTAGTGAAAAAGTATATTCTATAACTACTGATAGTGGTTCGAACATGAAAAAAACTGTCTTGAATATGGATAAAGTTATGTGGCAACGTTGTTGTTCACATACATTACAATTAGTAATAGGAAAAGCATTATTACCAGTAGAGTCTTTAATTGCTCGTGCAAAACGTTTAATTGATTTTTTTTTACGTCCTAAACAATCAGAACGGCTAGAAGAAATTCAAAAAAAAAATCCAAATATGATACGTATGGTAAATATTATTATTAAATATTATTAAACTATTTTTTACTGTTCTAATTTTTTTAATATAATTATAGGATGCTAAAGAAACTACCGAATATTTAGTTAATTGTATCTCAGATTGTAAAACTCGGTGGAATAGTTCTTATTTAGCATGGATTTGATTGGTTCAAATTAAAGTATACATTGAACTTCTTATTATTTATCTTACAACACATGAAAATTCTGAGGAACATAAAGATGGAAAGAGGTTATGGGAAATTAATTTAACAATTTCAGAATGGGAATTATTAAAAGAACTTTTACAAGTTCTTGGACCTTTTGAAGAAGTAAGTAAAACTTCTATTAAATTGTATTATATGTATAATTATTTTATTAATTAAAATTAATTTATAGGCAACAAGATATTTGGGTGGTTCTTATTATGCGATGCATAGTCTTATGCATCGGGTTATAAAAGAAATAAAAAACATTTTCAAACCAAATCAAATAAATGAAGATGAATTATACTATGATAATATCAAATATGATGCATTTGATGATCACGAAGAAGAAGAACCACAAACTCAACAACCACGAATTAAATTAAATATACCAGTAGATACTACGGGTCTTTTAGAAAAAGTAAAACATAATTTTTATAAAATTTTATGTTATTACTATCCTGATCCTATGCCACAAGAATTACTGTCCGCATTATTAGATCCACGTCTTAAATCTCTTGATTATATGAATAATATAAACAGAGTGGCTGTTAAAAATTTTCTTAGACAATTATATGATAATGAAAAAACTATGGAAATGGATCAAGATGAAGAACTTGACAACAACCCTCATGATTTGAAAAACAAAACACCTGATGAATTTAT